AATATGAATCAAATGGGCAAGTGGAACGAAATAGAGATTGAAAAGTCTATACAGCGTGTGAAGATAATGGAGCGCGGGAGGTGGGAAGTGGAAGCAGCTGTATATGCACAGCAAGACTAAAGTAGCGCTCAGGCAGCACACAAACGTGCGCAGCAAAAACTACCTGTGAGCAAACGAAGCGAGTTCGTACCCACGATGACACTTTCACCTCATGCCGGGTTTATTATTTCTTGGACAAAAAACCCGTGGTGTTCTACACGAACGATCTGGCTGGGACTCCGTCAAAGCGCGTGCCCATTGGGTCTTCCTTAATAGCAATTCAGCTTTGTCATGATATAGCTCGTATTTGACGGTGGACAAACGAGCAAGACTTACACCGAAAAATACTGATGGCACCAGCAGCTACATGAACGCGGTCGACAGGGTTGATCAGCTAAGAAGTACGAACCCGATTCGGTGAAAAGAAACGAGACTTGAAATGAGCCTTATTACGTGGGGAATGGGATATGTCATTGATCAATGCCGTCTGCTTGATGAAGAAGATCGCCGCACCGGAATGCAACAAACTTACATTACGAGAGTTTAAACGTAGAGTCGCCGAGAGCCTCACTACACAGCAACTCAGACAAACTAGAAAGAAACGCCGACTCGCTCATCAGCGCGTGTCGGTTCAAGAGATTGTAGGTTCGGTTGCAAGTTAGCATATGCTGACACCAAACTCCACCCAACATTCGAATGGGAAACTCACTTGCTATTTATGCTCACTCAGGGGCCTCGCGAAGAAGTCGAGGTACGGCTGCACTAGCTGTTTGCGTAGCTTTCATGTGGAGTGCTTCTTGAAGAAGCCCTCCTTCCACTTCTCGTCGTTTGTGCCACAAATAAGGTCATCGACGTACACGAGCAGCAGCGCAAAGACTCCTTCCAGGTTGTACACGTACATACACGGCTCTGACGCACAACGACTCCTGCCGTTCTTCACTAGCCATGCGTGCAGCTCGTCGTACCATTCTTGCCCACTCTGATGCAGTCCATACAGTGCGTTCTTAACCTTGTAGACCAATCCGTTTTCGAGCGGAAACCCTGCAATCTTCTTGATGAAGTGAGTGATCTTCAACTTTGCGTTCAGGAACGCTGTGTTGACGTTGCACTGGAACATATCCAGCTCTAGCAAGACGCACACCGCAACGAACAATCGAAAAGCTGCTATACCAGCAACTGGAGAGAATATTTCCGAGATCACGAAGTCAATACCAGGCTGTTGTTTGTCACCCCTCGCACACAGTCGAGGTCTGAACCGTACCACATTGCCATCTTTGTCAGTCTTCACTTGGAACCTCCACATTGTTTGGAGCAGGCTCTTTCCGTGTGGAATCTCGTCCTCTGCCACGAGCTCGAACGCATCCTTGTCTTGCATCGCAGCCAGCTCTTTCTCCATTCCTTCCAGCCATTCCTTGCGCTGCGGCGAGCGCATCGCCTCCTTGAAGCTTCGTGGCAATCGAACTTCAGAATCATGCCAAAGTCGCTTCACCGGCTCTTCTTGCTTCATGCTGACGACTGCAATTGCTGCGTAAACGTAAAACTCCCGCAGTGCTTCAGCATCGTCTCCATCGTCGTCAGCAACCGCAACAAGCCCTGTGCGTGGGCGCTTCCTCTGCGCTTCGTCACTTATCTCGTCGCCGTCGTCGTCCCGAGGACGTCTGCTCCCCGAAACTTGCTCCGGTTCGCGCTCATCAACGGCCTCGATGCCGTCTGCGACCTCCTCGTCACTGGCGGCGTCATCACTGCCGGCTTCATCACTACTGCCGCCGACGTCTTCCTCGTCATCAATACCTGTTTCTTCATCAGCGTCCGGTTCACTTTCCGGTTCAGGAACGTCCTCCTCCTCATCATCGACGGCTGGATCTTCATCATCGTTTACCTCCAGCTCATCGTCGTCTTGATCGTCGTCTATCGGACTCCCATTTTCTTTTGATCCTGCCTCTTCCTGGCGCTCAGCCTCATTCTTGTGTGAGTTTGGCTCAGAAAACACAATGTCATCGCTAAACTGAGGAGGCTCCCGATCTACCCAGGCAGCATGGTGCGGTTGCGGCGCGTGGCTCACTTGCTCAACAACGTCTTCATCTGCGTCATCGTCTTCGTCGTACACCACATCACGCGTCGACCCGCCATCTTCACGTCCTCCTGCGACCGGTAGGTCGTAATCTCTGCGTCCAGCACTCGTCAGATCCGGATAAGTCTCGTGAGCCCACTCGCGAACATTGCTCTCGAACTCAGGTCCACGTCGGTCCTTGTACATCACCTGCTCGTTCACTGTGACTTGTCCCCCGTACAATACCGTTCCCTCCGTTGGGAAATATACTTTGCATCCAAGCGTGTCTTCACG